TACAATGTGGGATTCGAGCCTCGTGCCCAGGCTACGTGGGATGTTAAACAGCATCTCGGTCTTTTGGGAGGAAGCTCCAAGGTCGTCAGATATCGATGTGTACCCTGACGATGGGCTGATGGCTGTTATGTACTGCCAAGGCAGGCAATTGACGTAGACCGTGAGTTGCCACGTTTAGTTGTGATTGAGAAAAGCCCTTCATGTGACCATGCCCATCCATTCAGTAATGATCGGAGCGGGCCGTGTAAGCTCGGCTGGAGCAGGTGCAGAGGCTCAACTCTTGGCCTGTTGCGTGGACAGATGAGTACTGATTCTTCGAAATCCCATTTGAACAAGGGAAGGGGTCAGACCTTGCATTCCAATTGTTGGCATGGTGAACTGGCTGACGCGAGTTGCCAAGAGTTGAGTACTACTCTAACCATTGATTCTCATGACCCCCAAATATGATTTGGCAAAATGTCAGACATATTCCCTGCCCAAGGGTGGAAATGTTCGAAGCTATATCGCCTTCGTAAGCTGGGTTATTTAAGGTATGATAGCATTTGAGATGCCATAGATCATAGCCTCAATGTTCTCCTAGCGGGCTAGAGTGCCAGAGTGCAATTAAGGTTGGCCTTCCACCGCCTCACAATATTGAACAGGGATCAAACGGGTGGCCGCGGCCTGCCGGAACTACATTGACGTGGATATGACGAGGACCAATTGAGTCGTCCATAGGAAAGATGTAAAATATGTGGTGCGCGATAAGTCTTAGCAAATGCAAAAGTTTGGCGCATGGAGGACGCGTAATCGTTTGCTTCTTGGAAAATCTTGGCTGCGTCTCAGGCTGAAAGTCGAAATTAAAAAGCAACATGGGCTGGTCTGACTCAATTAGTGGATGAGCCGGCGTACCGCCCTGTGCTACAGAGGCAGTTCATGAGCGCTGGGACCAATGATACCGCCGATCGCGCGCTGACGTCAATTGCAACTCGGCCTTGTTGGTTGCGACAGCAGACCATCGTTCCTCCAAGAAAGCCCGCCAAGAGAGTTCGGGCCGGGGCCGTAGTCGAGGCCTTCCAAGGGAGCTGTGCTTTTATTACTCTGAGATTGTGGTGTTCGTTAGCCCCGTGGCCCAGCCACACTTCCTACTGTGCCGTTTCATCCGGATCATCAGCATGCGCTTTTGTCCTAATTATTACCGTGTTGGTGGCATCCGTTGAGATTGCCGTCTTCGAATGCGACCGTCTCGTCATCCATATATATCCTGGTGTGGCGTCTGGCTGGTTGAGGCACATCCTCTGTCCGTCACCAACTCCTCCCCCCTCCAGCATCGAGATCCATCACCAGCTTGAACTTGCGCGCAAATGGCGGAGCAAAACAATGCCATAAATGGCACAAACGGCACAAACAGCACCAATGAATCGCCAGCCGAGCAGGTCTCTGCCCCTGAACCAGCTACTTCCAACGGGCCCAGCAACGAGAAGGTCGCATTCGCCAACGGCAATACCAATGGCGGCGACGGTAAGCAAGCACCGCGCAAAACTCATACATTCGGTCGCCCTCTCCGGGCGCTGACCCATCGAGGCCCCCCTGGTGGATATGATGATACTCCACTGCCAGACGCTCCCCAAGGCTATACACTGAAATTCATCTTTCACCGGGCATCAAACTTGCCCCCGTCGGATCTCTCGTCCATGTCCTCAGACCCGTTTCTTGTGGCTACGTTGAAGACATCAAGCCCCAAACGACACAAGGAGGACCCCGACTTGACTCACCGGACACGCACCCTTAGAAGGACAACTGAGCCTGAGTGGGAAGACGAATGGATTGTCGCCAACGTTCCTCCTTCAGGTTTTCAGCTCAAATGCCGCATTTATGATGAGGATTACCCCGATAGTGATGACAGACTGGGCAATGTCACCATCAAGGTGCCCAAAATTGAGGACCAAGGAGATCCCATCCCCTTACCAGGAAAAGAGTTCGAGGCAAAGCGCCACATGATTAGCAAAAGAGCCTTCTTGTTCAAAGGCATCACTGGCATTCTCACCCATAATTTTCACATGACACCCCATCTCTGGATCAGCATTGAGATCTTGGGCAAGTCAGATCCTCCCTATGCTCAGATGTGCACTCTCGGCCCCACTACCTACTTCAAACACTTCAGTCCCATGATTGGTCGCCTTGTCGGTACAAAAGTCGATGTTGAAGATGAGGAGAACCCGGGTGCTGAGGGAGAGCAATCGACACCTAAGAAGACCGAAAGGAAGACAGAGAAATACGAGTAAGTACACGTTTTGGGGGACTGTTTCCACAATCTATTTACTAACTAATGTTCTTAGTTTCCAAGCCGTTGAAATGCAGCTTCAGGGACCAGTTCCATCGCGGCTGTATCATCGCTATGTAGAGTTTCGGCCGATTATCAGCTCCATGTTCATGTCAAAGGGCCTCCGCGGCAAGATTCTTAACGCCGCTTTGCACAAGCAGCACCGCAGAGTCTATAATTTCGACTCATCTACCGAGTATGGCGCGTTCGAGGCCCGCTCGGAAGAGGCAGCGATGCAGTTGTTGAAATTCGCACAGTTTGGCGAAGGCAATCGTATCTTTACCTATGTGATCACTCTGGACGCCTTGATGCGTTTCACCGAAACCGGGCATGAGTTCGGAATCGACATGCTCAGCAAACATACCATGCATTCCAACGTGGCAACGTATGTTGCCTGCTCGGGCGAATTCTTCGTCCAAAAGCTTCGCCACAGCCACCGAGAGGAATCAAGATTACATGAAGAGGACACGATTGATGTTCCACGGCCCAGTACCAGTTCACGAAGGCCTTCGCCTGTGCGAGACGTGTCCCAGTACGAACTGGTCATCGATAACGATTCCGGGACCTATCGCCCAGACAAGCGCATTCTCCCTGACTTGCAACAATTTCTAGAGGAAAACCTGCCTGGCTTGAAAATAACCACTAAATCAAGCGACGATGACGAATTACAGAAAATTAAGGAGGCCCGACGCAACGCGAAGAAGAAATCAGGCCAAATTATGAATGTTGTGATGAACGTCAGCGATAGCAGTCTCAGCTCGGCCGTGAGCGACCTGGATGATCGCGAGAATTGGGAGTCAGGACAGCCGAGCAAACGCGAGGCTGCACTGGCAGCGGTGGAAAATCCTGCCTTGGCGAAGCAGGCTTTCAAGCGATACATGCCGAGGCATGGGACTGGTGCCGTTCCCACAGCAGCGAACGGCGAGAAGAGTTAACATGGAGGAGGTCCCGCTTCGAGTTGCAAGGATTAACATCCTTGATATTCTCTGGGACAACATCAAGTTTGGGATGCTCGCTTCTGGTGGGAGAAGACACCCTGTGACGGCCGCTCTACTGATGAATGCTTATGACCAAGATACCTACTACCGGCGATACCACCTAATTTCTTCTTTCCATAGTCTAGGCAATAAAAGCTTTCCAAATGTCTAAATTACATCCATTGCGGCTCGTTTGAGCGTCCAAGGTACAGCCACAGGGGTTCCCAAGGTCGGAGACTGGCTTTGGGGCCGGATTGCTACCGTAATTACTGGCGATAATTGATTCCATATGGCAAAACTCTCAAATGGTGAGTGCCTAAAAGGAGACGAAGCTCCCAAATCAATTTTGTCATATCCGGTGCCGTAGTTTAAGTTGAATCTGACAATGCCGTCCGTGCGGGGAATCTGGGGTTAATATGGAGGATTAATTAATAAGAATTAAGAGCCTCGGCACTCTCCAATTCAGTTCGTTCGACTAGACTCCTTCTTCTCTCACCACAGGATAATAAACAAACCGAACACGCTGAATCGACAAAAAAGAGACAACCTCTGACCATGTCTGCCTTCGGAAATCGCATGATCTGTCCAGCCTTAAACTGGATCCCTGCTCACTCACCCTCAGATCTTTTCTCGTCAGCACTCGCTCATTTTCAGGGAGTTCCTTGGACAGCGGCGCTTCTATCCAAACCAAACGTCATCCCGTTCATCCCCAATTGCCGCAACCCATCAACCCCTGATCTTGATCAGTTTCTCGGAAATACACTCCGTACAGATAATGCTCTGCGCCACATGCTTTGCTTCTTCGAGAAGGACGAGCACTTCGCGGACCCAAATAAGCCTATCACCAAGCTCACTACTCTCCTCAGTCTCGGCCCTGGGCTCTCAGGCGTACCACATGTCCTGCACGGCGGCATGACCATGTCTATGGCCGATGAGGCTATGGGCGCTCTTACGGAGCTCAACGCAGAGCTGGCTAAGCAGGGGGAAGCATTTCAATCGGGGAGCGTCACTGGGACACTTGAAATCAAGTTCCTGCGTGCTATACCTGTTGGGACAGACATCGTGGCGACAGCGTGGATAGAGTCGGTGGAGCGCCGCAAGACTACAATCAAATGTGAATTTAGGGATGAGGATGGCGAGGAGCTTGCTCGGTGCCAAAGTATTTGGGTTGCCGTGAAAAGTAACCTGTGAGTTCCAAGTGAGTGAAACCCATGCCCAAGGAGCCAGGCGCCAGGCAAGATATGTCCCGGGAATGGCTACAATCGACAAAGATACTTCTTTTTGAGATAGACCTGAATTTCCAATTCCTTTGTACAAGCTCAGCCGCACATCGCGTTACGCGCCGTGCTGCAAGAAGCAAGGATGCGGCGCCAAAAGTGACAGGTATGGATCATGCTGTACTACTCCTTGAAGTCCTATTCTCGCGCCCTATTGTTTCAAATATCGGACTCAGAAATAAACAGATCACTGAACTCCTCACTCATTCCAAATTCATGATCTTCTCAGCTTTTTATAATCTTATTTTCTGATATTTCCACGGGGCTGATGCTCATAATGGGCCCTGTCGGTTGGCGCCTCCATTTCAATGTCACCCACCACGGCGCTTAACTGCCCCTGCATGACATCAACTTGAGGCATCTGTACAAGAGTCCCCTTTCCCCTCAACATTTTTTTCGATTTACATCAACTTGAGATTTCTAGGCGCAAATGTTTCCCTCACTATGGCGAACCCCCTTTCCGTTGCCGGCTCCGCCGTTGCCGTTGTATCTCTCGGTCTTCGAGTGACCGGGGGGATCACGGAATACATCGACGCTCTTCAATCTCGTGACCAGTATATTGCATCTGTTAGACAAAAGAACGATACATTACGAAAGACCCTTCAAGTTGTCGAAGCCTCGCTCTCCCGTCTTCAGTTGCAGGGAGATCACCAAGCGGCTGCCCAGGTAGTGCGAGAATGCCTAGATACATCGATGAAGGAATTGAAGGCTTTGGAGGATCTCATCACGGAGCTTACCGTCGGCGATCCATCACTGCCTCGCCGGCAAAGCAAACTCAAGACTCAAGGCAAGAAGTTGATGTATCCATTTAGTCGTCCAAAGCTCGAACAGCTAGGGACGAGACTAGGGCACATAAATGCGGCACTTCAACTGGCGTTGCAGACTCTAGGTCTGTAAGTAGATATTCATGTTCCCCATCTTCTTCGATCAGCTTTTTGACACACTCCTTTTCAGTTCTATATCGCAATTGAGCACTGAGAAACTGGTTACGCTTGAGGCAGCCTCTCATGCAATGTCTACCGATCTTCTAATGGTCCAGTCCGAAGTCTCGGCCATCGGTAACCCCATCAAAGACATGCATAAGACCCTATCTGGATTTGAGACACGTTTTGAAAGCCTTGAGGATTTATGTAAACGCCTGCTTGAAAGCCCGGCGATGCCCCGATCCACGCCTGAGGTGGGGAACTTCTGCCTAGAGTTTGCCTCGCCATACTCATGCTTACCGCAAGTCTTAGGCCACTTCGAACATGATTACTACCCAGCTCATTAGCAAGCCAGCAGTCTTGAGAGACATGTGTGATGCTTCTGGAGCTCGGGAATTCTACAAGTCAAATCAGTTCCCGTCCATAATGAATCATGGCTCAGCACAAACCGGCATGGTGTCAAGGTATCCAGGTGGAAGATTTTCATGTGTATGCCGCCACCTACAGCACCTACAACGGAACAGTTCTAGCTGGGGCGCTATCAATGTGTCCTTTGAGACCATCACGGAGAAGCATTTGCCTGGGTGTCCAGCCGGTCGAATGATATTGGATGCGAACCGAAGCCAAAAGATCAACTTCACCTACACAGGACTGAGAAAGTTGCTCAACTCGGCTATCCAGCTTTCTTTTATGATGCCTTCGGGTGCAGGAGGCTGGAGTCTCGGTTCCAACATCACCATCTATCCTATTGTCGACTCAAGAACTGCTCCAGTCTTCAAATTATTGACTATGGTAGAAACCGCCCAGGGGCATTTGAGGGATGAGACGAAACTGACAGAAACTTTGTACCCATCGGTGGTATCGTCGATACTGAGGCTATTTCAAGCCCGGAAGGCATCCCCTCGAGCAGTTGACGATGAGAATAGGTCTCTCGTCCATTACTTAATCAAATGTGTGAGTTTCAAGCTATTTACAATGAAACAGGTTGTCCACTCAACGTTCTGAAACACATCATACCATAATCATATCTGTTGAGTGCGATTATCCGGGCAAAGAGTCTCAATGATGATCAACACCTCGAATCCCAAACCTACCCTAAACATCTCACACCTTGTCACTTCGTTGCTTAAGCATCTACTAATCTTAGGATTCAGATTAGAAACTTGAACCTTACTCACTTAGAACCATTGCCGAGCCAGGCAGAACCCAGTGTATTTCTTGATCTTCTCCAATACCTTCTTGCCAACAAGGCCCCAGCAAATGATTATGATGATTGGGGCAAGTATGTTGCTATTGCCCCCTTACGAAGTGCTTGCTTTGCAGTCTTACTTACACATCATCCAGTACGCCCATCTCTACCATGTTTACGACTTATTATTATTCTGCTGTCACCGATCCGATATACTCTGCTGTTACGGAGCTCATTCTTCAAAATAACACTGAGGGTGATGTAGTCTGCATATCAGGACCCCCGAATCCACCAGCAGCGGCGACAATTCTTGATAGGTCAGGGCGGAAATATCATGCAGAACCCTTCGTATTATTACTCCATTTTCTGTCAAGTTCGACTAAGTTGGCTGAAGGTTCGTAGTCCCTGAAATTTAGAGGGACCAGTGCTAAATACTCATTTTTTAATAGCCTATGGATGTGGTCCATTGAGCATAGCAATTTTATCCAACAGCATGGAACAAGTCGAGTATTTGGTGAAGAACCATCCCGCCACTCTCGCTGAGCGAAACCTTTTCGGGTACACTCCACTCCATCTCGCTGCGGACAAACCGCAATTCTTACGACTTCTGGCAAAAGCCGCAGATGCTTGTGTTCTAAACCACAGTGACAACAATTCCGGAATGTCTCCGGTAGAAGCCGCCCTCATGCTCAGCAGGTTGAAGTGTCGGGAGCGAGAGAATAGTTCCCGCATGTGCCGGAGATGTAGATGTGCTGAGTGTGTCGTCATTCTTCTGAAAGCCGATTGCTCTGTTCCGGTATCACCAAGATTGAGTGGCACACTGAGTTGTGCTTCCAAAAGATGTTCCCTGAAGTATATACGACACATGAAGGCACGGAGAGACAGACTAAAGCGTCTGGCTATTGACAACCTTTCTATAGCCGAACTGGAGCAGCTAGACCTGTCTGCTGAAAATGTCCTTGATTCTCTTGCGCCTCGAGCCATCCACCTCCTGCAGAAACGGGGTGTCTCTATCCCTGAGGCCCTCGAGGTCGGCCCTTTGCCAGTGTACCGAAATCTGCAAAATTTCGAATATGCTGAACTCTTCTTCCGGGTTGATTTTCACGACACAGACGCATGGATTGACGTCGATAAGGCATCACTGGAGAGCATTCCCCCACAACTGACCAGTTTTTCTACACAAGGCCCTTCCTATCTCCTATGGCTAGGCGCACATGGGGCTGAGTCTTGCCAGTTCAAGTCCTTCGACTCACCTAAAAACATCTTCACCGCTCTTTTTCTATTCTTCGGAATAGGCCCAAAACTCGAAAATGTCTTCTCTTCGTCCTGGAATTTACCCTTGGGCGCATTACCATTATCGCTCGAGGCTCGCAAAGACTGGTTTCGCACTGTCAATTCCTCAGTACTCTCAGCCGACATCCACGACGAATGTCGTTGCCTATGCTCTCCTACGGGCTGTACCCCTGTAACATCTCTTTTAAAGGGCGCTTTTGCGCCCATGATTTGGAAACGTAGATTTAGAAATCTGGGGAGAGGCCACGGGGAGGAATCCATGCGGAGGCCATTGATTTCGCGCATGATCAACCCCTTTATTCATTACCTTGAAGAATTTTGGGCCTACTTCGAGGTCAGGCATCACACCGAAGCTCTCCGTTATCTGACCTTTGAGCTTCTGGGGATCTCGCATTGTTGCTGTCAGGCTACAGATCCGGTTTGCGATTCGCCAGACGAAATAGAAGAGAAACATGGTTATGAACTGGCGCTGTTGGAAGAGCTCATGCACGAGTTTAGTGGAAAGCTCACCAAAGTCCTTAAAGATCCGAGCCTGAGTATTGATCATATAACCAAGTTCTGGACACATACTTGGGTGGATCGAATGACTGAGGTTCTGGATAAGCTTGAAGGGGACAATTTAACAGTCGACGAGAAACGGGAAGCTGAAGAGATCGGGGTAGTCTGGAAGACATTGGGACCTGAACCCCCGGAATCCCCTACTCCTGAAATTCTGGACAACCCATATGATAAGAGCACGATAGATCACTGGATGTATGAGGTGTATAAGATTGAGGCAGCATGTTGAAACAAGCAACAAGCAGTAATTTGCTTGAAGGGATGAGGGAGTTTAGGAGTTTAGGATAACAAGACATTTTCGACACTAAGAATAAGGCCGCCTTTTTGGACATTACGTTCCTCCATATTGTCACAGTAAACGGCCAAAGGATCATGAATCATTAGGTATCATATCAATTTCGCATAAATGTTGTCCTATTGGTATTTATTACAGTTATGTCCATATTGCCGCCTCACATGATATCCACCAATCTCACACAAAGCTTCTCCTTGGGCCTCAATGTAAAACTTGGACTAGCAAGCTCGATCTGCGCCTGCTCATCGACGGCCTCTATCCGGAATTTAGTGACCATCTTGATCAGCATGACCTTCATCTCCACGATCGAGAGCTGCTTCCCGATGCAGACGCGGGGCCCATTGTGGAACGTCTCGAACGCATAGGCGTTTGCGGCAGCACCCTGTAGGGTGTCCCAGCGGTCTGGGTCGAACTCGCTTGCCGTTGGGCCCCAGACCTGCGGGTGGAGGTTGATCACGCCGGGGCAAGGGTGGATCACCGTGCCTTTGGGGATATGTACTCCGGCGATTTTAACGTCTTCGATGGCCTCTCGGGGGACATAGGCGACTATTAAGGAGTAAATTTGTTAGATGTGGCCTTTTTTTTATTAGGGTGAAGGGATAAGATCAACGTACCTGGACAGTGTGTTCGCAGCACTTCTCGAATAAAGTTATCGAGGAACCGGAGGCGCTCAATCTGCTCGTAGCCAAGTTCCTGCGGATCTAGTCCCATATCTTCAATCTCCTTGCGGATACGGTTTTGATATTTAGGATCTCTTGATAAGATCGAGACTGCCCACACCAAGCTACATGATGTAGTGTCGTGACCTAGTATCAAAAGGTTTAAAATCTAGAACCGAGGGCAATATGTCAGTCTTGAGTTTAGGATGTGCACGCTTGGGTTTGCTCACATATTCAACGATCTCTTCATCATTCCATAGAGGCTCCTGCTCCATCATAAGACGGATCGCATTGGGAGTCCCCGTCCTAGTACCGCTGTTGATTTGGCAACGACAGTCCCGAACATGGGCCCAAATCAGAGTTCTGATTTGTGCGCAGGAACTCAGGAATTTATTGTTCATTTCGAGAGGCAAAAGTCTCCTCAGGGGCAAGTACGAGCTGAGGTAGTGGATGATATGCCCGGAGAGTGATTGCTTCATTGTTTCGCCGACGAGTGCGTGGAGTTGCGAGTCATCAGACTCGACGTGATTTAAGTCTACTCCCAGCGCCTTGATTCCAATCAAATCAAGGGATGCTTTCCACAGAAGGCTCTCAACTGTGGGATGTTAGGGAATATCCCTTAGAACTGATAGGAGGATGAAGTGATGGGTAGGGCTTACCTTCAACCACGTTGGAGCTTTGCCGAGCTGACTCTAGACAGCGTGCCAGAGAGTCCGCCTTGGCATTTATAGTTGGAACGAAATTCTTGACGGATGGAATGGAAAAAGCTTCTGTATCGCAGAAAGAATGGTTAGTTCCGTGTCACCCTAGGCTCCGATAAGTTGAGGACTTACTGAGCAGAACACCTTTGCGACGGCGGTGCAAATCACCCTCTGCAAAGGGAAGGCCATCGCCAATCACAACGGTAGCAGCCTTTCTCGTCAATGCTGGCTTAGAAAATGAACTGTTCTTGGTCTGAAGAACTTCTTGGTAGGCTTGAACCGAGTTAATGATAAGATATTCTGAATTGAAGAGTCCCAAGAAGCGTATGAAAGGGCTCTCTGGCCATCGAGTGGACCACTCTTGATAGAGGTAAGGAACCCAGGCGGCCTTGAGAAACTTCTTGCATTGACCAAAGATGGAATCATTATCCTATACTCTGTGTAAGTCCAGGCGAAAAGGTTTTTCACTTATGAAAGAAAGGAAACAACTGGCATAGCTCACGTACCTTGGGTCCAGGAAGCTTCCTTAGAGGGGAGACGTAAAACGGGTATATGAAGACGAAGAATAAGAGTTTGGATACATGGTACAAAAAGAATGCAAGCAGCAGTATGACTACTGAGGCTCTCACCAAAGTTGGGGTGACTGGTTGCACTGTGAACTGACTCATGGTTGGTTGCCTCAACATCCAGGTGACAGATGGTTGTGTTGCAGAGAGAGAGCAAATCAAGTGAAGCAGGATATTTGGTTTTATATAAAATCCCAACAGGAGCCAATTAGCACTGGTGGCAGTGTTAGCCTGCGGGAGGGAGTCATCCCCAAACGATGGAGCTCTTTGTCAACCCATAATTAATCTAGACCGGGTTTGTTTATGGTCACTTCGACAAGGATCGACATGGATCCGAGGCAACGACAAGGAGAAAGAAGGAAGTAGTTCTAGTTGTTTTCGGGAGACAGGGGATTGTTCTTTGGGTACAACGCGGGTTGCCGATGAATCCAGACGTGGCTCCCGAGGCCACCCATGTCAGGTACCGAGGTGGCTTTAGGGATTGTTGGAGTTAGAGTGTATCTACGAAGTCATAGAGACAGGGATCCATGGAAAGGTTTGCTTGTTCGATCTTGTGTGTAGATGAGCGTGGCGGATATCAGCCCAATGACCTGCAGTGTGGTAATACCAATATGCGTGGCAGCCACCTTAGGATTTTGGGTTGCCAAGCCTTGGGTGACCTTTCATATCAACAACGTCTTCGGTACAAGTCATAGCTTTGCCGCAGGCTGACAGCGTGTGATAATAGATCTGACATGTTTTGATAAGGTACTTGAGAGGCAGATTATCATCTGCTAAATCCTTCACCCCACAATGGTGAGGAAAGAAGGGACCAACAAAGACGAATCCATCTGCCCACGAGTTAACGCCTATGTAATTCTCCGCCCATTCATGCATCAATGAATGACGAAAAACTGTTCCAACGGTGTGGCTGGTGTGGGGATCGATCCTCCTGAACGGAGCCAGGAGTTCCCACATACGAAAAACGACGGTCGTATAGGGGCAACCATGCGCGAGCTGATCAGAGACACCTGAAGATGCAAAGCAAAACAACTAGGATAAATCTTCGGAAACCTTGGGGGCCTGACCGTTGCAAGTTCCACAGCATGGCAGCGGAATTATGGCAAGACATACATTTGATGTCTTGCCGGGAACTTGGGCGCGGTCAACGGCTAGGAGCAGCCGCGCATGACAGCTCATCGTAGCGAGCCAAGATAGTATAAGCTGCCGTCTGTTTCTTAACAGCAAATCCTGATGTCTTATTTTCATGTGATCTTGTTTCAACCATTGTTGGGGGCGATAGACGCGCAAGCAAGGTGATTCCTTTGTGCCGCATTCGATCCATGTTGCAGCCATTATAGCACACAAAGGCGATTTCTAGATACGATCGAAGTGATCATACATCTGTGCTTTTAGGCAAATCAGTGGGTATTCGATCGTCACACGCACTGCTCTGCCTCCTGCGATCCAGGGGGGCGGGCAGGGGCTGGGATGCAGTGCGGCTCTCAGTCAATGTTGGGCGTTGATTTGCCTGTTTTTATTTTCTGACCGCTTCATGGAAGACTGGAAGTACATGCGAGAGATGAGCATGGTCTGCGGGAAAGTGACGCGGAAGCACCTATCAGCTGCCGGAGTTGCCATGCCCAGCACGGCAGCACGCCCAGCGGCAGACTGGGGTCAAGCTGGGTCATCGGCTGATCATCTGCAGTGGAATGCATGCAGGGATCCTGACCACAGACGTCAATCTCAAACGTCGTGCAAGGCCATGGGGTTCTGCTGTTGGCTTCTTGGCGGTTGCAATGGCGATGGTGATTGCGATCCCTTTGAACACGGAGGACCGGGGACGAGATCGAACGAGCCTGATAGTAGCATCACATCCATTCATGCGAGCCACGGAGGCAACCAACGGCGTTTAGGACGTAGTGGCATGTGAAAGCAACGCAAGACGGAGGCGTTACGAGTTTGCGAGCCAACAGCCATCTGATTGAGGCTGTCACCACCTCGTCATTGGATGGAGGATCTTATAATTAGACTGTCAGCCGTGGCTGGATGGCACCTTGGTGTAGCCCCCTGTAAGACCCCCGCTCTAGGGCTGTTGTTAGCGGGTGGCAGCCAGCCTTAGGGGCGGTCGGGCCACTACAGATCTGTCTTAGCGCTGTCGCAGTGACGGGAGTGGCGGCCTCGCGCTTATTCCTACCACCAGCCATCACCAACAAGTGACAACCATCACCCGCAGCCTTCCTTCAATGCTACCACGAGGAAGCCACCCGCCCTCAACCCGCGTTGTTGGCTCGGAGCAATATACTCAACGGGAGCCTGGAAGATAGCATCCTGCCAGGGGGCACCATTGTTCTAGCCCGGAACTTCCCTGGCCTTCTGCGGGAGATACGACGGCAGACACCCCTTACCACGGGATATGGACGTGGGCGGCCGAACCGCACCCCTTTTTTTTCCTTTTTTTCCTTACGATTGTGGATCCATTCTTAGGAGGATTTCTATTCAAACTCCGGTTCTTTGACCTCAAAGCATTGTCTTTGATTGCACGCATCCTTGGCCCCCAAGCCACTCCCACATGGACGGCTAGAGCGGCCAGCGCAGCAGAAACAACGGTGAATGTGTGCAACCCAAATTATCCGAATCGACTTGTCGAGAAGCATGCAGCAAGCTTAAGTTGACGCTGTCCACTGGTCACCAAGCCATTGGCCGTGTCACCCTGCCGCCACCCAATGGTGGGAAGCCAAGCCTGACCAAGGGACCTTTTCCCTGCCGCTCTCGGCTCATAACATCCAAAACATTGTGGCTTGGTAGGGAGAATACATGAGATGCGGGGGGATAGACGCCTTGCCGTGGATTTCGCGTGTATACGGACTCCGTCGGTAGCAAGAACCCACGCTGTGCGAAGTCTACGTACGACTATTCAGGCAGCTCATGGGCACAGCGCCCCGTGATGTTCATGCTCGCTCTTCCGGCTCTTCGATCCGAAGAGAATAAAGTGAAGAAATGGGAGAATACTCCACCCCTGGCCCTTGAGAAGACCTAATATGGCAATCATGTCCTGTCATTTGCCTTTTCTCTTTCGATTCACTTGATGTGGGAGCGCAATCAAGCTTGCAGCAGAATGTATGGGTAGGTGGGTGGTATATCACGTCACTTAGTGTAACATCGCATAGTCTACCTAAGCACATGCATGAAAACTAACCAACATGTAGCATTTACCAACTACGTGGTTCAATGGAGTTATACATGCAGCTGTTTGTTTGCCAGTCGACCCTTATCCTCGGGCCCGACACGCTGACCACACACACTCGACGGAGAGACACGGTGTCTTATCACCAGCACTCAGCTTCCTCCTTGGTGTGTCTCTATTTTAACGCAGATGCGGGTGTGCCCAAAGCAGGAGCTCGCCCCGAGGGGCGTAGAAGAGCCCGGCCAAACCCTTTGGGGTCCGACGTTCGTTGATTTCATCATGCGTTGCACCACATACTAGCACAAGATCATCATGATTCGAGGACAACATTGGATGGATATACGAACTTGTATCAGCACCAGCCTTTCCGCTCAGCTACTTTACACCAGACCGTTGATATCGTATCTGGGGCTGTCTATTGTCCGTGAGTTGGCTTTTTTTTTGCAACGGCTGCATGTGCCACCACGTTCCTTGCCCAGCGCCAGAGACATGGCGGACAAATCAAAATAAGTTTCCGAAAGCAGAAACGTAAATGAAACCGATCCCGTCCGTACGGCTACCTACCCACTGGTGCCGATTTCGAGATTGGGGGCTGCAGATTGGAGGGATAGTCCTGTTACAGCCACCAGATATGCCAACCCAATCATCTCCCGTCATCCAACTCACCGTTTCTTCCCTCGTCGACGTGCCTTGTCAGCAATGTAACACACGCAGGTTTTAGCCGTTCCTTTGGTATCGACACACCTGGGCAGGGGTACTTCCCCCTCCTCGCGCTGGGGACAATAGAAGTAACACAACTCATGTGGTGGACCAAGCTGTTCCATGAACTACCCGATGCTCCTGACCGCTGCAAGAAGCCCAGGCAACGCGCCATGATTCACTTTGCCGTTGGGGTGTCGATCAAGCCCTCCTTTTGCGTTTTTTCCATTGGGGATGTCCCGCCAAAAGTCCTCCAATCGCTCGTCTTGTCGGAATCAGCATGCATGCATGCGTTCGCTTTGGGGCCGGCCACCTCTCCAGCACTCCGCATCAGAGATATAATAGCAAGGACCCAACATTAAGAGCCATTCCCCTCTTCATGTGGAATCTTCATGGTATCTCTCACCATTTGAAAACTATTGCTTGCTGTCTCGAGCACATTGTCCTCCATCTTTCATCAACCCTCAGACTTACTCAAACCCACACAAGGCTGTCTCATCTTGAAAATGGAGAACGACAAAGCTCCAACTTCAGCTGAGAGCAGCATCCAGCCTTCTGGGGGCCCAAGGGGCTTTGCAGAATGGAAGTGGAAGGGCACTATTGCCGTGATATATATGACAAGCTTGATCAACGGTATGCCCCAGGTGACATCTTTCTCCAAAGAACGAATACCTAACTGATTCGAAACACAGGCTATGATGTCAGCAATGTTGCAAATATCCAGCCACGCCTTTATGAGGCGTTTGGTGGTATCGAGCTCCTACCCTGGATAGGCTTGTCCTATTCTCTCGCCAACTTCGCCGTCCTCTCTCTAGGGAGAAAGGCGACGTACTGCTTCGATCTCAGGATCATCTATCTCACTAGCTTGGCCATCTTTCTGGCTGGATCTGCCGTCGCCGGCAGTGCCAAGAGTTTGACCACAGTCATCGTTGGTAGAGTGATCATGGGCGTTGGCGGAGCCATGGTCCAGCAAACGTATGTTCCACACCCTTTTCTCTACCAGATCTCTTTTGAGTGGCACGTTCTGACTCAAACTGCAATAGAAATATGTCGTACATGGCCGTCTTTGCTACTGCTGCTGAGACCCCTGGCCTTTTCGGCACCATGAGCGCCATGTGGGCTGTCGGGCTCGTTGTAGGAGGACCCATCGGAAGTGCCTTTGCTGAAAATGTTCACGCAACTTGGCGATGGGCCTTCTATCTGAACCTGCCCCTTGTCGGACTCGGCTTCCTCATCTCTGCCTTCTGCGTTCCTACACACTCATTCGCAACCCAAATCCCCATTTTCACTCGTCTGAGGAAGGCCGATCCCCTTGGCATGCTATTCAACATTGCCCTTCCCGTCATATTCGCCATTGCCCTGACATTCTCCGGTCCCATCTGGGACTGGGGCTCTCCAAACTCGATCGCCGTCTGGGTTGTCTTCGGAGCCGGTCTCGTGGCCTGGTGGGCTCAGCAGTACTTTTGCATCTTCACCACTCCAAAGGACCGTGCGTTCCCTATGCACATGCTCCGTCGGCTCGACTTGATGCCTATCTGGCTGGCCTCCGGGTGCGCCGGCGCATCCTACGCAGTCACACTTTACTACAGCCCCTTGTTCTTCGCCTTCGTCAAAGGCCACGATGCACTCGCTCAGACTGTGAGGCTGCTGCCGTTCATCCTGCCATTCATCGTCGTCGTCATGTGCACTGGCGCACTCCTGCCTCTATTCGGGCGATACAAGATCATCTATGTCCTGGCCGGCATCTTCACGGTCGCCGGAGCCGCCGCTCTAAGCTCAACTCTGAAGGTTGACGTCTCCGAATCTCAGGTCATGGGCTTCGAGGCCCTTCTGGGGATCGGTCTTGGTCTACAATTCCAGCATGGGTTCGGCGTCTCCAATGTGATCAACAAGGACGCCCGTGACCGTGTTGATAGCACAGTCATTTGTAACATGTTCCAGATGGGAGCCATCTCCACCATTCTCTCCGTCGCCGGCTGCATCTTCCAGAATGTGGGCTATTCCCTTCTTGTAGATGCCGTTGGTGGAGAAGGATTCTCCGACCACGATATCCGCGAGGCTCTTGCCGGTGTATCCTCTCCCATCTGGCGGACAGGAGACCAGGCGGTGCTTAGGAGCGGCCTCAAGGCTGTGACCAAAGTCATTGCCAAGGAGTTCTACATTGTCATAGCTACGGGGGCCTTGTGTCTTGTTTGTGGAGTTCTCATGAAGTGGGAGAAGCTGGACTATGGAAGAAAGAAGCCTGCGAAGAAGCAGGAATCGGGAGACTCGAGCTGAGATGGCCGCGAGTCTCCCGTCAGAGCTAAATTGAGGCATGTCGTAGAAGGTTCTCCTAGGAGGCCTTCTCATTGAGTGTATTGAATCCACCACAATATCTTTTGCACAGATAGCTACTAAGTAAGATTGTTCTCGTACCTCATTATCGTACATCTTAACCACCCGAGCCTTCTGGACAAGTGAACATTTGCGGATCCTATTCTACCTACCTGTAGTCATGATCACCCTCATCTCTCGGAAGCAAACCCATGCTGCTCGCTGAACTCTTGCCTTTCTAAGAGAGGCAGTGCATTAGGCATGCCATGTGAAACAAAAGTGAAGAAAATCTCAGCACTGATGCCCAACCTCAAAGAGAAAAAAAATATACTACAAGGGGAATTAAGATGCGAATCGCTCAGGCCCTATTGTCCGAGGGGTGTGTGAATAGCGGAAACCTATTGCAGCTCGACGCATTAACTCCTGTTCATCTGTAATTTAAAGCCGTTCCGTCTCAGCCGCAGGCCATTGTTACATGCCCCTCCTGGGAGATCTGGGTTCCGGTCTCATGGGCGATTGCAGATGCAGATGGGATCGGGAACGAACGCATGGACAACGCACTTGCCGATCGGGCTGTGGCATGAAATGCCAAGCTGTGTGGGCACCGGGAAACGGGTGGATGGGACAGCGAGGACGGACGGGCGATTGTGTTACTTGCGGTGCAGGCAGAGCCCCTTAGGATATTGCAGAGGATAGATGCCTGAGATGAGGCCAGAGTGAGAGAGGTACGTATAATTCCGTGATGAGGAAATAGAGAGACCCACTATAATCAGGTGCGTCACTCTCAGCTGGTAGTGGCCACTGAACAGCGCCGGTCTTCAGTGGATGGACGCTGTACCTATCCTAACCCTAACCCTGGAATCACTACTATAGGCCTGTGTTACCTGAACGCAACGACGACGATAATCACCAATTCTGTGAAATATGCGTAGATTTCAATTGTAGTCGTAATGAGGAGAGACACCGTGTTCTATCAAATAGTTTGAATAGACTAGACCATACAATCCGGAGCCTTCGGTTGCTGCGGACTGCGGCGGCGGAAGTGGAAGCCTTCGGGGCCAGCCATGATTCCGCTCCGACAGACTCACATCGCGGTATAATTACGTCCCAGGAAGGGAGCCTCTCACGTGCTTCCACACACTGCCTTCCTCATCTTCCAGACATCACGATTCATCTTGCGCAAGAACGTTATATTCATTAGGAATTGCTCGAGTGAGCTGTTACGACTATCATTCCGGGAGATCCGGCCTCAATTTCCCTCTATCATCGTCACAATGTTGGCGGAGATCTCGCGGCCCTGGGTCTTAATGGCCATATCCGCCGCATGCTTCTTCCTCACAATCTTCAAGCTCCTCGCGGCCCTCGACCTGCCGACGCTGACCTCCTGGCCCAAGTTCAAGGAGACCTGGTTCGGCGTCCTCTGGACCTACGTGGCCCCCATCACCAAGAAGGCCGGCCTGCCCAAGGTCCTGCCCCTCGTCGAGGGCCGCGTCCGCAACGGCGAGGTCCACGATAAAGTGGTCAGCCAGCCCCTACACGGCACCGTCCTCGAGGTCGGCGCGGGCAGCGGTCTCTGGACGGACGCGTACAAGAAGGTCGCCGACGAGGCCAAGCGCACGGGGAGGGCAGGTCCCACCAAGATCTACGGCGTCGAGCCGAACCACATGTCGGCGGCGACGCTGAGGCAGCACGTCAAGGAGATTGGACTGGACCACGTCTATGAGGTCGTTCCTGTGGGGATCGAGGATCTGGATAACCCGGATGCCTGGGGTGCGACCATCGAGCCCGAGAGCGTCGACTGTATCGTCACTGTGCAGTGTCTGTGCAGCATTCCCGAGCCTGAGAAGAATGTGGCTCTCCTGTACAACTACTTGAAGAAGGGGGGTAGGTGGTATGTCTACGAGCACGTTCGGAACGACCGTGGCGGTCTCTGGTATTTTTTCCAATGTAAGGACGCACTTCGTATCCCAGCCAGTTTATTGAGGAATGATGAAGTTCTAACTTTGAGATGCTAGCTTTTACCGACTTTTTCTGGAAGTATATGATGGGCGGGTGTCGTCTGTGTCTTAACACGGAGAAGACCCTGACCCATACCGCCATGTGGGATAAGATTGACCTCGCCCAGCCACCTGAGGAGCCTTCTTACCAAATGGTGCCTCATATTTATGGTACATTGGTGAAATAGGTTTTCAAAAATGATTCTAGGGAGTGAGTGTGTTTCAGGCGAGCTCAAAGTACTGGGTTGGATCGATTGCCAGCCAAGGATGGAAGGACTTCAAACACTTCGCCAAGTGAATTCTGAGGGATAGGCGTAGGTATTCGAGAAAGATGGGATGGGTGGTACTATCAGGTCATCGAGTTCTCCTATGAACAAAAGATTCTTGTGATTTTGAGCTATAGACTCTTGTTAGTTGCTTGCCAAAAGGGGTAATGAGGCTGGATGGGTGAAGTGGATAGGAAGGCCCTAATCGCAAGAAGACGAAAGTGAACACTAATCTACCACAATATACCATTCTTGTCCATCAGGATAGCTCCAACACCAATAGTAGACATAATATCATCCAACGCTATCTTCATACTCTTGTGCTCGACTACTCAACCTTCTTTTGTGCAAGGAAAGCTTGGCACTCTCACAAGCCCAGTACTCTTCGAATCTCCCTATCCCTATCATCAAGCATAGCAGGGTCAGGCATCCCATAAGCCTCCTCCGTCTGCTTAACAATCTTATCAACCCAAGCACTCTCCTCCTCGGCCTTTCCTTGTCCCCCAAAGTTCACGCTTCCCAAGCCGTTCCAAACAGTCTGTATCGTAGAGCTCAGGTTCCCCAGGAAATGCCTTATGCCGCCGGCTCCTCCGCCCATGTGGTATGACTTGAACGGTCCCTGGACAGCCCACCTCGGCCCCAGGCTCGCTTCCATGACCGTGTCTAAGTCCTTTGCGCTCACCACGTCGTTCTCGACTAGGTACACGGCCTCCCTCAGTAATGCAAATGCCAGTCTGTTGCCGACGAAGCCTGGAATCTCCTTCTTCACAACGACGGGACGGTGGCCAGAGCCGAGAGTCTCAAAGTAGGTACGGGCAAAGTCAATCTCCTCAGACTTCGTCTCCGGAGACGGCACAACCTCGATGAGGGGCATGATGTGAGGTGGGTTGAACGGGTGCACGACGAGCAGGCGGCTGCGGTCTTTCATGGACTCGTTCTGAGCGGATGCGAGGATCCCCGAGGTCGAGCTCCAGAAGTGGGTGTGAGGAGGTGCGGCAGCCTCGATGGCCGTCCACGTCTTCTGCTTGAATGAGATGTTCTCGGGGCCTTGCTCCTGGATGATGTCGGCGTCTGCACAGGCGTCTTCGAGGGAGTCACATATCACCAGGCGGCCGGCGGTGATGAGGTTGGCTACGTTGAGAGACGGGCTCTGAGGGTCGTTTGCGTAGAGGTAGCCGGGAAGGACGGAAAGGAGGTGCTCTTTTAGATCTGGTCTTGGGTCGAAGGTTTTTACTGTGCCGTTTGTGAAGCGTAGGTGAAGGGCGGCGAAGGAGATGCCGATTGATCCCAGGCCGATGAGGGCGATGTTGTAACTCGGTGGTGATGACATGATGGATGAAGTAGAAAGCCTGGAAATATGAAATTAGACGATTCTTTCAATTTCTATACAATGTGATCTGCTCGTGCCTTTTCTGAAAGTGTGATGGGATGCTGGATGGCAAGAAGTGTTTCGTCGACGAGTTGCGATGACGAACGACGACGAACCTCCACCTCCCGCGGGGTTAATCGTAAGTCGGCTCCATTTCCAAATCTGACTATAGCCATGAGCCGAGGATCTACGAATTCATCACAGGCAGGGCAAAGGCTCTTTTGGAGCGTTTTTTGGTGTTTTCTAAAGCCGAAAATGTGTACGCAGGTAATTGTATGTATTTGTCACACCTTGGCCTCATCACGCATTTACTAACTCATCACAGGCATCGATCAAGCATCCTCCTCTACCACCTCGCCTCTGTCAGTTGACCTCCTCTCGAACCATACCAGCTCTTTCAAAGCCGGCTCAAGATCTAATCCCATCCTCACAGCCACTCCTCCCTCGAACGAAAACTCGGCCGCGATAGGGTCTGCACCACCCTCCAGGAAATCACAAAGATATGCAGTGTACTTTGTCTGGCCCTCCCGATGCTCAAACTCCAAGGTAAAGCCAAAAGAGCGGTCTGTCGCATCAATGAATAGCCCGTCATCCTTAATTTCCACCCTCAGGCTGTGGTATCCCGTGTTGGAGTAATCTCCCGTATAGGCCGCAAGCGGTGTCACCTGCGCCTGCAGCTCGGTTTTCCCTCTCCCCCTCGCAGAACGGGGAGGAGGCGGACCGGCCGCGACCTTGGTGGCCCTTTTCTTGCCCTCCTTCTTCTTGCCCTTCTCCTGTGCTCGTCGCTCCTCCTGCGGTACCCCCAATGCATCGTCCAAGAGTTCCCGCATCAAGATTGAGCTAACGGCCATGGCACCAGATGCGTTTCCGAGTACAACGGCGCCGACCTTGAGTTCAGGCACGAAGAAGAATCTACCGCTAAATCCCGTCGTGTTCCCATCATGCCATACCACCGCATAGCCTCGATAATAGTAGATTTCGATCCCTGCAGCGTAGAACGGAGGAGAAGTCAGAGGTTTGAGTCTCTTGCCGCTCGGGTCTCTGAGCGAACGCAGGCGAACCATTCCCTGGTAGACGTCCTCGCAGATAGGCCCCTCTCGGTTCATCAGAGCCTTGACCCATAGGACCAAGTCGTTGGCACTCGATACCACCGATCCAGCGCCCTGACCCTCTGGGCAGTCCTGGATTTCGACTCCATAGTAGGTTGAGTCCTCCTTCTCCCAGAGATAGCCTGTAGATAGACGTGAGCCCAAGCCGTGATCTCTTGCTCTCTGAGGCTGCAGGTGCGTCGACGCCATCACCAAGGGGAAGAAGATGCGGTCATGCAGAAAGTCTGCAAAGGACTTCTTGCTCTTCTCTTCTACGAGGTGTGTAGCTACTGTGTACATTGTATTCGAGTACAGGTATCTAGAACGCAAAGGGGCCGCGATGGATAGATTTCGCAGGTTTCTCGTGATAGAGCGCGGTGTATCAGGGGATTTAGCACGCATACTCAGGCAAGAATTATTATGTCTATTTCGAATTATTTTCATCAGCGGCTGGTCTAAGTACTTTCCATAATGCTACATTTCGTAATGATTCTGTCACTAACCCTGATAATCCCGTCCTGTGGCCCAAAACGTCGTCGACCGTCACTCCCGCAGTATAAGTCTCATCTGACATCACAAAGTCCTCAGGGAGCAAAGTCGACATGGGCGTATCGAACTGCACCTCTGGATGGCTCTTGTTATCATTCACAAGCAGCACCACAGACGCAGCGGTCAGTGACTTTGACATTGAGGCGATATCGAAGATTGTGTCTGGAGTGCAGGGCGTCTCCGGGTCCAGAGATGCATAGCCATAGCCCGCAGAGGCGATCTGATCACCGCGAACAATGGCCACAGCGAGACCAGGGACATGATTCTGCTGCATCAATGTCTCCACATGGATTGGAAAATCGTCTGAATGGAAAAGATTCATTTTGGCCTTCATGAATAGGAGTCTCAGGTGCGGGTGCATGCGTGGAAAACTAGCAGCTGTCAGCATTTACTATTGTTGGAATAGATTCCGGGCGGTGAGAGTTATTTTGCCCCATTCAATAGATTGACGAATAGGCCGTCTCCTTACCTATTTTCCTAATGGGAAGTCTATCTGTGGTAGCGAAAATCCGCCGTTGAGAGGCTCCTCAACTCCGCCTCACCCTTCTTATATGGCCTATTGTGTCTGCTGGCACTCTCCTATATCCCACAAATCTAAATACATATATAATCCAAATCACAGTATTTCATTAGAATAGAATTAAGTATGATTGACAAGATGTTTAAATACGATCTAGATTGTCCCAGTAGGTTTGAATGCAAATGTCTCTGGGGCCTGCCCCTCGTTTGGATTCACAATGCCAAGCTGAATGCGCCCAAGTTCTCAATGTATTCTCAGGTCTTTCTCAATAGACCCTCACACTATTCATCATGGCCTCTTTGGGAAAGCAGCATCGTGAGAGTCCTCTGAAAAAACCTATAAATACCGCCTCTTCCTCCCAGAGAAGCTCTCCCTTTCTCTTCCTTTCATCCTCACAACCCAACCATCACTCTTCTCACAGCTGTAAGTAACCCAGCATTCCTCCATTCTATTCCAAGAATATTCTATCTTCCTTCATTACCTTTCACTAACACTTTCTCTTCCTAGCAACAGCCAACCACCACCGCCAACAACCACCGCCGCCGCCGCCGCCCAGCCACCACCACCTCTTCTCAGCACAATGGCTGAGAACATTGACAACTCCCTGCCGGTCGCCGAGGCGACTATCAACCCCCTCCCCAAGTTGGGGACTCACCTTCCGGTCCGAAAGGACCTTGGAAAGAAGCTGTCTTCTTTCCACCTTTTCAAGCAGCTCCCACAGGAGCTCCAAGATGAGATTTGGACCGCCGCCGTCCAAACACCAACCGTCCTCGCCCCTGAGCGAGTAATTGAAAAAGGGCTTGTCCGTTTCGACAAGCAAGCCGTCTGGTCCTTTCAGGGGACCAATACGCACATCCTATCCCAGGTGTGCAAAGACTCTCGCGATGTAGTGCTGAAGAACTGTGTCGCTTTCCGGGGTAAGGAGAATACCCCAATCACGACCAAGGGGCCGGTCGTATATGCGAACATCAACGCTACGATGTTCGTCCTCGGCGACGTCGCTGCGGAAGGTCACTCCTTCCACGAAGATGACGTCGCCCAAATGAAGTATGTTACGATCGAGGGTCGTAACCCTGGCGTCTGTTGGGTTCCGGAGCCCACAGACCTCCAACCTGGGCCATCGTCAGGGGCTCTGGAGATCCTTGCCTCACTGGCAAGAGATCTCAAGGCTGTGTTCGTACACAGCAAAATATCGATCAGCGCCTCCGAGGACCCTGACCGGATTGCTGAGGATCTCGAGATGACCGTCGACACTCCTCAGCCGGCCTTCTTCGTCGACGGCGTTCGACCCCTCAATGCGGATTTGTTCGCATACCTCTCTCGCTTCGTGGGGTACAACGGCCCCGAGATCAACGATGAGCGGCGCTGCACCTACGCGCAGCACAAGGAGAGGCTACTCTGCAAATTTCTCTTTGAGGAAGTCTTCGCCAGCGGCTCCCCGGCGATTCACTTCATGCCGCTCTTCTCTCCCTACCGGGAGTACTTCTCCAACGCCGATGAGGATCGCCTCATTGAGCATGCGTCCTGTCATCACGAGCTCAAGCCTCGTGATGAGGTTACCGAGGACGAGGGTGACCAGATTTGCCGGCCTCCACCGGCCATGACAGAAACTCGAGCCCTCCTGGCTTCCCGACAGCAGGAGATGGACGAATTCGAGGCGGAAATGATGGCCGCCTGGCCCGATGAGTGGCTGTAGACATCTACCCAGCAGCATTCAGATCCAGCAAAGAGGAACGTGCTCACTATACCCTGACGTCTCCGTCACATTCATTCCCTTTGGTGGTTTTTCAGCTCCGCTAACGTTTTCTCATTCACTCTGGAACACAGTCTCTACTGCCTCTTGTCGTTTTGTTTCTCTCTCTCTTGCAGATCTCATCGAACGAATTGGTTGCACTTTGGCTCGAGTCATTTTCCCAGGTACGAACGGATTGTTTTCACTTTTCCTTGAGGATCAAGTTTTTCAGGTACGAATGAATTGGTTTCATGTTGTCTTGAGACATCTTCTCAGTTACGAACGAGTTGGGTCTCACCTTATCTTGAGCTCATGTACAGACCGAATCAGCTGGCACTCTACCTTGAGTTCACTTATCTCAGGTATGATTATCATCACTCTCTACTTCTTGTCACAATCAGTCTCTCAAACTCTCGAATCCTCGGTCACAAGGAACAATCGGAATGAAAAACGAACAACTCTGTTGCACTCTACCTTGGGTTTCACTTTTCTCAGGTTTGATGGCAACCACTCTCTCCTTCTCGTCACAGTCAGTCTCTCAAACTCTCGAATCCTCGGTCACAAGGAAGCATCGGAATTAAAAAAAAGAAACAACTATGTTGCGCTATACCTCGAGTTCACTTTTCTCAGGTATGACTACTATCGCCTTCTACTTCTCGTCACAAACATTCTCAACTTCTCGAATCCTGGGTCACAAGGAACAAATGGAATACGGAATCAAGCACCACATGTGCCCGTCCATTATCTACATCGACCACCGACCGAGCTTGATGCCTCTCGCATCGCTCCAGGTAACTCATATTCATCGGTATGTTTCGTCAAGATTCGACACAAGCAGCCAGGGATTTCGCCCTCGGGAGGCATTACTCGCTCACACATTTTCATTGGTACGTTCGTCAACGATCGGCGCAAGAAGCCCAGGGAGTTCACCTTCACGAGGCATGTGTCATTTTCACATTTTGGTACTGGCATGTTCGTCGACGATTGGCACAGAGAGGACAAGGATTTTGGCCCACGAGAGGCATTGCTTACACGGACACGTCCGACTTTTCAAAAACGGCGAGTGGAACACAATGGATGTGGAATTGATTTGGCATTGGTATGTTCATCGACGATTGGTACAGAGAGGACAATGATTTTCGCCCACGGAGGCATTGCTGAAGTGGACACATGGAAGTTTTCTGTTTTGAAAACTGCGAATGGAACACGAGGGACCGGAATTGATTTGCTCAAACAGACACTGGATTTGGTTGGAATTGAAGGGTCAATGTTCTCAAGGCAGGTTGGGATTGTTCGGCATTGTGATTAGGTTCATGATGCACATTTCTTTCTCACGTATAATGTCTTCGGATGCGAATAGACTCATCTTTCTCACACACTTTGATTAATTGTCCCTAACTGTTCATGCGTACAACATGAGAAACGGTGCTCACACCACCGTCTTGATTATCCAGCAGGTCCAAAGTTGTATCTGAGCCCGACCTGCCCGATCATGTTCTGAAGGCCCTTCGAGAATTCAACAGTGCTAAGATTGTAATACCACACAAGTAATGTGCAGGAGATGTCGTTAAATCATCCAATTAAGAAGCCAATCCGCCCTTGCGTCCAGCCTCCTTGGCCTTCTCGCTACCAGGTTCAAACGACCCGGATGACGCCTTTCCGCCCATGGAAGCAATCTCCCGCTGTTTAGTGTGTCAGATTCGATGATTGATTTTACTTCTTCTTCTTTCACATCAAGTTGGGATGAATCTCACCTGCTTATCGGGGTCCATGCTGGCAAATCCGCCCTTGTGGCTGGATTGGCCCCCCTTGGAGGCGATTTCCTTAACCTCCTCCTTGGGACTGATTAAAGGAAGAGATGTTAGCTAATTGATTTCATTGGATATTTCCTTCCTTGATGATAGTTGGTGTAGCTAACCGGTTGGCAAAGTTTCCGGGGTTCTGGTTGTCGGCCATTGTTGCAGATATAGTCGAAAGGACTGGTTCGTAGTGGTTTGGATGATTTCTTGAGTGGATTGAATGGTTGAGTAGCTTGATGAGGATAATAATTTCATCTTTTCGAGTTCAATCATGGGCTTTTATAGACGGTTGATGAACGTCCAAGCGACTCAATGCCGTCATTCATTCTGAGATCAATTCCGTTCCATATCCACTCCGACAAGTGAATGACGCTGAGAAGAGTCTCATTTATATCCAATTCTCCCTTCTCTGACGTGTTACTGCTTGCTTAGATCGATCCAAAAATAACCGATAGGCGGTCTAGGTTTCAAGATCGCCTAGTGAGTGATCGAGAATGTTGATCTGTGATGTAGATATACTCACGGACCTCCATATCAACAGGCGGAAAAAGAAACAACAAAAAGGAGCATCCTGCCCGGTGAATCAGAAATTGATTACGTAGGTGCTGCTAGACAATACGGGATAAGCCATATTCCTTTTAGAATAATCACGGATAGTTTGCCGTCTATGACGCCCTCTAGCTGTCAACTCGCAAAATCCAAAGCTTGTGTAGTATCTACCTATAGATGCACGGTAACAGTGAAGCAGAGTGTAACGCTTATACTTCCCATTATTACGGCCCACGTGGGACTGACTGGGATGGCATCTTGCATGTGTTTACTCCAGGCATTGCAACATAGCCAAAAAAGAGGAGTGAACTTAATTCAACATGGGATCCGACTACGCTGCGACGCAACGCAATTACACCACGAGGCTGCATTCGCTTATGCGATACACCCAAAACATGAAATCCTTCGTGTCAGCAATCTACACGGTGGTGTCTCTCATCAGGCCATGTCCGGGCCGTCGACACACACACACACAACCTTAATCACCGGCTGGCCCTGGAAAGGGATCCGAAGGCAGCCGCGTGCGCATTTACGAAACAGGCTTCGGACTCCGGCTAGGGCCCGGCTCGCAAAACCGGATACCTGGGGCAGTGTGGCATACCATACCACCAAGTGATGGGAAGACGATAAGAGATCATGATAGGGCAGGCCGGAGTCAGATAGGAGGCACGCGCGTATACCAGTCAACAATAGCCGTGCCAAGGTCGTCTTGCATCGTCTGGGGGGACTCATGGGGATAGAGCGAGGCACCAGGCAGGGCGAATGTGCCAGGTCAAGCACATGCGGACGAGCGGGCCAAGGGCCCCAAGTCTATTGCTCATATGATACGCAAACCTTCCCCGAGGTTTTCCTCGCGGGATAACTTGTGCTGTTGAATTATTGCCGAGGGGAGCAGCTTCAGGTCATCCGAGGGAATAAAAAAAGGCGACATCACAAGTGTTATGTTTACCCAACAGCATAAACGAGGCCAGAGACGAGCCATCGCAGGCGACAGCGCCTGGTCTAGATTAACAACAGAGGCCATCCATGAAAATGCGGAGGAGGCTTCGTCTTCCCCGCCCCCGCACCAGCAGCCACTCACGTCTCAACCGTAACCATCACGCACTCGCAGCTAATCGGACCAGCAGCAGCCTGATATTGGTCCATACTCCAGATAAACCCGCTCCAACGTTTTCCCGCAACCAATCAGCGTTCCAGCACTTGCCTTAGGTAACACCGTAACAGACGTTCCCGATCCAAGGCCGCCAGCTACAGCACAACCCCGCCACCAGCCTGTAGGAGCCCTGCCATTACGCACTCTCCGGGTTTTACCGAGCGCACCGACCGATCCAATCGACGTCAGTCTCTGCATCCTCCTGCGTACCCTGGACAGCCCTCACAACCCTCACCAACCAACACGCCGGCCATCCTGGGTGCAAGCAAACCCCGGACACCCTTCCTCTGCTCCAGTCGACCATAGATCAATACAGACGCAACACCCAGAGCCTCCTCAATTTGATCGCAAGACGCGTGGGGGCCCTTCGGCAGGACAGCGCTTTATCATCGCTCGACCTCCCCGACTCACCCCGCCAACCCTCCATCCCATATCATATCATATCAGATCATATCTATCGTCGCCCTAAGATCGGCACACATACATCACCCCACCGGTGAAGTAAAATCACCGACGACACTTTCAACAAGCATCCCAGATATCTCCTGGGCAGAGGGACGCAGGAAACCACATATCCACCAAACACCACAAACGACTTCTCCCACCATGCCGTCCCAACGACCCTTCTTCCTCGCCTCCGTCTTCGCTGCCCTGCGCCAGCAGGACCTCTCCATCACCCAGCAGCCCAACAAGTACGCCACGCAAACCACCTCCTCCGCCGCCTCATCAACGCCGGCCAACGCCACCGCTACATCCACCACCGCCGGCAGGACCGCAAATGCCAGTAACAACGCCGCCTCGGGAAGCAATACCGCCGCCGACGCACAAGGCCAGGCGCAGACCGCCACCCGCTCGGCCAACATCCCCATCCAGTACCCCTCCCGCCGCCGCGGCAGCGACAGCAGCAGCGAAGGGTTCAGGGACGTCATCGGCGCCGACAAGTGGTACATCGGCGGGAGGACCGCCGGCGGCGAGGAGAGGTTCTTCAAGCTCGGCGTCGTGAGGCGCGTGCGCAGCAACGACGGGCTGAGTCTAGATCGGCTCAGCTTGTGAGAAGCAACGAGGAAACCTCGAAAGGAAAAAAATGTCAAAAATCAAAAATTTATACACACCGCTTCTTCGGTGTGTGTTTTTATCAAACGTTGAGATGAAGGGACACACGGGAATCGGATTTTTGGAGCATCATGGCGTTTTTGTGTGGTTTACATGATCGTGCTTGTCAGCGGGCTCTAGCATCCCCCGCGTCGAGGGGCTGGATTCCACGACGGGTGCATACGGGGATATTTGTGATTTTCCTGGATATCGTGGGAGGCGCTTACGGACCTTTTTATGGGCGGCGTTTCTGGCTATGCTGCTGTTATGTGATTATGAAAAAATCAAACACGTCGCGATGGGCTTGATGTTTCGCGGCGGAAAAGAAACAGATACGCGGGATGACTTGACGAGTCTACAATACATATATTCTACATAACCATACATATTTGACAAGTCTCTTGTATAAACCCCCCTGAACTGGCCTTACCACATGAACCGCTGCCAACGGCCCTCGTCGAGCAGGCTCCCGTCCTCTGCTTTCCACTGAAACGGCTTGAACAAGAAGATGTACCCCGTGACGACGTTGATTGCCAAGAACCAGACTGTCTCTAGTACAAGCCGGAGGTCGTAGTGACGGAAGAACTCGAGCAGCCTGCCGACCGGTCCAGTGGGTTGCACGGAGGCGAACAGTCCGCCGGTGGGAAGTCTCCAGGCCGGGACCATGAGCCGCCACACGACCCAGGGGATAATGAAATAACGAGGCTCAACCAGGGGTGCCGTGATGAGAGACAGGCTCGATGCCAGGAGAAGCACGATGGCCGTTGACGTCGACACCGACTCTGTGGAAAAGGCCAGCGGATCATTGGCAAGAACCTCCTCAACTTCCAGCTGTGTCTTCTCCGAGGCCTGTGGATACTGTGCGTTTGTCTGTCGCTTGGCTTTCTTGTCCTGGCGTATCCATAAGGGATGGTTAACAAATAAGGGCTCCGTCGTTGGTGTAGAGTTGTCCACGTCTCCTGAAATAAATGTAAACGGCCAGGCTTCGCTTCCAGCCAACGTTCCCCAGACCATCCATCGAGAGAGCGTATAAGGGGCCACCAGCAGGAGGCGGATTGCTGCCCCACGCCGAATCGTGTAGCGGAAGATGTAAAACATGTAGTGCCGGTTGTCTGCGAGGGTAAATGGGTGGATGATGGTGTTAAATCGCACCACAACCAGCGATAAAATCACTGTAACAGTGAGGTAGACGGGCCAAATAACGAACCGGCTAAGCAGGCTGGAGACAAACTGGAGGGATGTAGAGATTTGGGGAGATTTGGGCTGAGAATTGTCTTGGCCCTTTCCTCTCTTCTTGCCTTCATCTGTGTCCTTTCTTGACGAACCAGAGTGCGCTGGCTCACTTCTAGGAAAGACGAAGTTCCAGGCTATATTGAGAGGATACAGGGCATATGGAAGTAATAAGGGGAGTGAGAAGAATGCGAAAAATGGCCAGATATATAGCATCTGAGCCAAATGGATCGTCGCTACATGGTTGGATTTATCACCTATTAACCTAGAGTCAGTAATGTCGATGCAACTTCCATTATGATCAAACGTCTCACTCACCAAGAACCACGCCGCCATTCCAGATGACGAATGCAACGAAAGATAGCAGCACAGTAATGTATGGCCAGACTTGCCTCAAGACTCGCACGGGATTGCAGACCGCCGCGATCAAGATGCTCAGGACAGAGAAAAGCCAATCTACATTGTGTCAATCTCATCCTTAGGACAGAAAGGGGTCGGCCGAAGATTGTGATACATACCATCAGGCCAAGCTCTGTCAAGCGGAGGGTCATGAATGTCCCCGATAGAATACCGCCAAGCGAAGAAATTCACCTGGTCCCACAGGGTAATCATCACTGGTTGTTTAACTCGTTCTGGGCGAAGAGTCTTAACCGCATGGATGCCCTCCAGACTACCGATGAAGGCTACAACCCAAAACACGTTAGTCTGTCTCATTAAGAGAGATAGGATCCCGAGGAACACTGCGCAAACGTCGCTGAGGAATGAGGGCCGGTCGCCTCCCATGCGATGTAGGGAGTTGAGGAACGCCGCCAAAACCACAGCAGTAGACACCAGATCCGTGTAATACAACCCAGAGAAGAAAAATAGCAGAGGAAACAGGGCAATGTTGAGCGCAGTATGTCCAGCATATTGCGACCTAGCCCCTATTCTTGTCCCAGAGTTTTCTTGGTAAAGACGGGCCTCGATTTGCTGCCGCGCAAACATGGCCAGATATGTTAGAGCTAGCAGTGCAAGCGCATTGAATGCACGTAAGCTCCCGGCGTCACAGCCATAGATTGCGAACATCACAGCAAAAGGATTATTGCGTGTAGCCAGCATGCTCAACAAATAACTGCGTTCTCAATTAGTCTTCGTTGTCGCAAAGTCGTGGAAAGCTTGCCATATGACAGGGAAAGACTGCAGTTGCTTACAGGCCCGGGGGCGTCGTGAGTTTGTCGTCCCATTCGTCGTATCTCCCTTGACAGTATTTCTGAGCCTGCGGAATATGGAAGATCTCGTCCAAGTAGGGCTCGGGCACATAATGAGAGCTGATATGAAGCCAGAGCCGGGCTGCGACGGCAGCACATACTGGGGCCACGGTGGCCCATCGGGTTGAGGCTCGCCCAGGCGGCTGAATGAGTGCGACGACGAATATCAACACCCCAGTAACGGCAGTGTCCCTGGCCGATTGGAGAGGGCTGGGGCGGGAAACCCAAGACTCAATCCAGCCATCTGCAGTGTCGCTTTCGCATTCCATGTCGGCTTGTGTGCGATCTGGGCTGCGAATGACGCGGTTGAGTGATGGTTGAGGAAAGCTCGCGGTCCCACACTGAAGATTGAAGGTGAGGAAATGACTGAGCTCTGTAACGTAGCTCTTCGTCATCCCCAAGGGAATCAATCACTCCCACATGGAATATTTTCGATCGCCCAATTTTATTAATGCCATTCATAACCCATATTTCTATTATTTCTTTGTATCTGACCATTTTCCACTCCAAGAATTAAGACCTGCCATGTTCTCCTGATACTCTTGCGTGGGGCTGCGGCTTACACATTCAGACCTATATTCGAACCATTGTCTATTGTGCCCCCATTGCCATCAATAGAGAAAGTATCTAATTTGCTGTGACGCGGTCACTGTCATGCGATACCCTTCCAGTCTCATCAATTCGGAAGTAATTAGCTTCCTGTATCTGCATAGGGTTTTCCGCTCGCATCCAGCTCACGCAGTCATTGAAAGCACTGACAACTAACAACGGCATTATCACTCGATGGAAATGGTACAGATCTATAAACAGAAGAAATTTCTATTGGAAGTATCTTGTACAAGCTGGGATTGTATTCTAATCCGCTCCAGCCAGCCATCCTATCACACAAACCCCATGATTTTCGATTGGTTTAGAAGGGCTGCATGTACTGTTAGATGCATCCTTTACTTCATAAGAGACGTATGTGACACTTACGTTGTCCGCGGGGTGGACTTCGGTAATGAAGTACTTTCCGAGGAAGGGAACCTTCTACATGGTGGGTTAGCAGGGAAGCCTTCGAGACGGGTTCCTCGTGGCGAATTGAACGTACCTGGAGGATGTCGGTCTTCACACGGGGGATACCAGAGACGTAGAGGAGGACAGCGACACCGGCAGCGCCACCGAAGGCAGCAGACTTGGCACCACTGTCAAAGAGAATCAGCATTTTGTTCCAACAACCGCTGCAAGACCAACAACCCAGTTTCAGAGAGCCGAGAGTCTTTCCTGATCGAGACGCAAGCGGTAGAACCCCATCGAGCCACCATGCTGAGATCTCCGGCCCCGGAGCAAAGGAATTCTCGCTGCTCGTTCGTCCATCCATTGCGTCCGCCAGCGCTGGAAATACTCCAGGTCCCACTCGCTCGTCCTTGGGTTTGCGTCGATATTCGGGCAGTATAAAAGTGCTACTTACAGTCGGAAAGCAGTCTTGGAGCTGATGCCAGCAACGTGAGGCTGGAATTGGTACCTGTTGTTCCTCGGTCAGCCTCTGAACCGCCTCCTTCGTGTTGACTCTGACTCGATCGCCGGGATAATCGCATGCTCGAGGATCGCTTCCAGTCGTTCGTGATAGCTATCGGGAGTAGGACAATCTCTTCACGTACTTAGGGCCGTAGGCGCTCCTGAATTCGGCAGCGCGGAAGGGAGTCTATACGAGGAACGGTCAGATGGATGTCTTGATCAGGGATTTGAGGTAGGGCAGGGGGCCGGAATTAGCCAGTCCATGAATTGTTTCGACATACAGGAGAGACCATCTTGATTGTGGAGGCAGCTGAAGCCGTTCTTGTCGGTCAATTGCTGAATCGTCGTCGGTATTCACAGTCAAAAATATCACCACTTGCGCGAGTTTGGGAAGCTGAGTCTAGCCGTCGGCAGAAGCCGGAGTTTTGCCCCAGGCCAGGAACGGGGCCCGCTCAGCCAATAGGATGAGCCGAGATACTAACAAGAAGCAGTACTCATTGCTGGTCTTTCTGTAAAGAATTTTGGCATTTTTTTTTTTTGCATTTAGTTGATCATTGGAAATAAGCTTACATGCTAACATGAGTAATGTGTTTAAAAGTTGTGTCTTATTGTCCCCTTGACTCCTACCAGTTTCCCTGCGGTCTCCTACTTGCCTGACGGGAGATGGGAACGGATCGGGTTACGAAGCAAGGCAGATACGTGAGCGAATAAGCCAACAATACTTTACCACTGACCAAGAAGATAATATGGACCGATCTATTGCATCAATCAAATAAGAAACACACAAATCATTTTCCCAGATCCCAGAGTCGAATTTACAGATTACTCCTATGTATCGAAGGCCTTCACATTGTTGATACCTAGTCTATAGGGTAGTACAAATTTAGCGGGTCTGTTGGGAGGGTTCTAGAGTCCAAGAGCTTCAAGCTCCAATTGTCAGACGTGCACCATCAACGCTCTTTCGAGATAGAGAATTTCAACTTCAACTTTCCCCTGCAAACATACCAACTGGCCAATTCCCGTGGATGGATAAATATATAGATGCTCGCTTTGAGCGACTTGAGAAGGCCCTGGCCGTTCTCGTCGACTCAGTCAACAAATATCATCCTTCCATAGCTCACGCCAAGGAGATCGAGCTCGCCGACAGCGAGTTGAGCAAAGGCCTGGAAGATGGTACGCGGCCTCGTCAATTACCTCCCATCTCTTGTACGCACGTCACTGACATTATATAACCTAGTCCAAACCCATCAAAACAACTACCTCCGCATCCAGGAGCTGCGCAAGTCGTCCGCGGCCCTCGACTCCCAGATCCGCGACACCCTCTCCAGCCTCGCCTCAACCCGCAAGGACATCGTGACCACCCACGCCACGACCTTCCCTCCCGGGCCGAACTACCCCTTCTCCTACGAGGAGCTCCTCAATTACGCCCGCCGCATCAGCAAGACCACCATGCCCCCGGCGTCCATGATCGCCGCTGCTGCACCAGCTGCCGCCGGCGGCGCCACCTCCCCAGAGACGACGCAGACGCCGCTGGCGACCGAGTTCCAGACGGGGGCCACGCCATCCGCCGCCCCGACGCCCTCGCAACCCCAGAGCCCTGCCGTCATCAACGGCGCCCCCACCCCCATGCAGAGCCAGGCTCAGCCCTCGCAGCAGACGACGTCAACCCTGACCCTCCCCGAACACTTCACCGACTATATGAACCCCTCCTCCGGGAAGCCCTTCTTCCCGTGGCCGCAGGAGAACGCGATCCGCAACGGCGCCCTGGCGTCCAACCAGGCCCTCTCCGAGCAGGGGATCGACCCCAAGGGGTACGACCCCGTCGAGGTGGAGAATCGCAAGCAGAAGGAGGAGGAGGAGCGCAGGGCCAAGGAGGAGCAGGAGAAGCAGGAGCACCAGAGGAGGCTCGAGGAGGAGCGCGAGAGGCAGCTGCGGCAGCAGGAGGAGTGGCGCAGGAACACGGCGGCCGGCTCTTCGCCTACCCAGTCCACCCAGCCGAACGCGCCGCCCGTCAAGAAGCAGTTCCAGTTCTCCTCGTTGGATGATCTCGACGACGACGACGACGACTAAATTCTACGGAGGACGTTTGTGGTTCTTTTTTATCAAATACCTTTTTTATTTGGGGGCGCTTGTAGTTTAAAAAAAAATAAAAAAATTCCATCCAGTATCTAACTCTCCCGCGCGTTCATTCTATTCAGAGTGCCTCCGTAAGAAGCAGATAGGAGAGCGATTCTTGTTCTCTACCAGGCTTTTTCTCCAGCTATTCCCAGAATGTTCTTTCCAGTAAAAGAAAAATCCCCTTTTCCTATTCGATGCCCAATAATGCAAACGCTGGTGATACAAATGTAGTCTTACAAAAAGCAAAAGGTGTATATCATGAGTCTGGCCCCCGTCTCAAATACCGGTGATACTTGAGCTCGCTCCTCCAAGAACTTGAATCTTCGGTCTGTTCCGACTTAGTCAATCTTGATTGACTTGTAAATCCTCTGCACAAACCACCAACTGGCAAAGTAGCCGATGGAACCTATTTCAACATCATTAGCTGATCGCTTTTCAAATACTGAGTTTCAGGGGCATAGTCAGACTTACCGCAAAGAACAAAGAAGAGCATGGAGATCAAGGCACTGTAGCCAAGGTACAAGACAACTCCAGCTAGACCACCGAGTCTGACCTTTGTGATCAGGTTGAAGAGGCAGTTAAGGAAGATGTAGCCACCGGTCATGCCGGCAGCCATGAACGACCGCCATTGCCAGTTGTAGTTCTCGGCACAGAGCAAGAAATAAGTCATGAGAATCGTGACGGCTGCGCAAACAATAACCATGAGGATGTAGCAGAGGAAAAGGAAACCGAACATGTAGTAGATCATGCTGAACCAAATGGAGCTCATGATGAAGTATAGCTCAACGAAAATAGCGCCGAAGGGCAGAAGGCCGACAATGAGCATACTGGGGGCTGGCTTCAACCATGTGCTCACGGGCGGGATCTGTCGGGGAATCTGGTTGGTGCGGACCGGGGCTTCAATAGCGGCGGATCGGAAGCCAAACCAGGAACCTGCCAGAGAGAGCGGGATGGAAATGACGAACCAGATACCAATAATCACGAGCATGGTCGTAAAAGGAACCGCGCCAGAGGACTTCTTGGCCCACAAGAACAGATCCAGGAAGAAGAAGGAGGAGAAAGTGATGCCAGGGATCAGAGTTGGTGTGAGAACGATGTTCAGCTTCCACTGCTCTCCCTGGAACGACTTGTATACTCTTGCTGAGACATATCCGCCCACGAAGCTTAGAACGGTGTATAGAAGTATCATGATTGTTCCCAGAGAACCACGGTTGGATGGGGAGAGGAAACCGAACAAGGCAAAGACGATGGTGCATGCAGTTATCACAAAGAGATGAGCACCATTTCCGAGAAGAACTGAGAGAAGAAGTGGGCGTGATGGTGTTCGGAAAACGTCTCCGTGGACTAGCTTCCAGCCTGAATCCTCCTGCACGCCTTCTTCTTCAAGAGCTGAGGTCGACCCAAAGTCATCAAGATTGATCTGGTCGAGACGGTTGTATCGTGCAATATCCTTCTTGAGAGTTCGGACGAGAATGGATACAACAGTCATAACCAGGATGACCACGATGATGGCGGTGTCGATCAGCCAGAACCAGTGGATCTTGGGGTCGAAGACGTGGAGGTACTTGTCCCATCGTGTGGCCCAGGCAGTTCCAGACTTTCTCCAGTAGACGGCGTAGCTGAACTTGACAACCTCGGACTCGGCGTTCTCCTTTAGAACCACGGTTGGGTGAGTATCGCCGCAGTCAGCAGTGTGAGAGTATCGCTTCGAGCTTGGTTCGACAGTAACGCCAACAACACGGAGCTGGTTAGGGTCCTTGTTGACTTCGTGGTAATCGACCCAAATATCGTAATGGTTGTTGAAGATAACTTCCGCAGTAGGGTCCACCTGTCCGAGAAGGAAACCGGGGCTGTAAAAGGAAGTTCCTGTCATCTCGTCCTCGATCTGCTGACCAGGGGGCAAACCGTCAACAAGCCAATTAAGAGTATAACCCGCCTGAATCTTGGATCGGACGAATTGGATCGATTCCTTATCGTAGGTAACCTCGCAGAGAGACTTGCAGGTCTCGTTCTTGGCCATTGAGAGGTCGAACGGAGAGGTCATGATTCGGTCGCCGAAAAGGATACTACCCAAGCTCTCCGACACGTATTTGGGTCCGCCCTCGGGCTTACAGAACTTGAACTCGTCATGGTAGTAGTCGTAGGGAACGATGGAGTGCAGTCGCTGATCGGAGGGAGAGGCGACGGGCGTGATACTGTTGACGAAGAGCGGCACCTTGTCGTTGACCTTGTAGGAAGTTGGTGCGACACCAGGAAGGTAGAAAGCCGACGCAGGGACAGCGGCCAGCAGGGTCGCAAACAGCGCCGATGGCGCCATGTTGTTGCAGAGCATTGTGCTATTGACTACAGGTCATTCCAGGGATTTGGCGATTGCTTTGCCGCGAACAGGACAATGCAGGTTCAAGATGCGTGACGTATCCGAGTTGCGCGTCCCTTTTATAGACGATCGTTATCGCCTTGCTAAAATGAAGGTCTCCGCACGAATCGAGGTCGGGCCGGCAACCCGTCCTGTTAATAGGGGGAGAATGAGACGGGCGATTTCGATGTCAGACCTGCCCCGAGCAAAGCAGTTGGTCGTATCCAAGCTTG